CCATTCGAGTACTTGGCTCATTCAATCCTCTATGCCCTTTTCGAAGTCTGACAGCAAGGGCTGGCGCTGCGTAGGTCAGAAATGAAAGTCCTAAAGACAGAAGGAAGAAAACGCCTAGTTCGTTTTGCACAGACTGCCATTAGGTTGCATTTCTTTTGGGTTAATGTGGGTTTGGACCCTTGATCTCGAGGTGGAAAACTCCATGAATCTATTAACAATCTCCTGAGCCATCAAATCCCACCTCTTCGGGGATTATTCATATTCCAGAACTCAAAATGATCTCGGTTTTGGAAACATACCCCTACCCTTTGCTGAATGGCTCCACTCCTCTGTTCTTTTTCCTTCCTCGTGACGCTTACTTTGAAGTGAATAGTGCAAAGTAGCACTTGAGGCAGTGAAAAGAGGACCCCATAACCTAGAGTGCTTACTACACCCACAAAAACCCCTTTCCTTTTTATTGCCCCAAATCCATAAAGACTGCTTTTCAAAGGGAGGTAGTAAAAGTACCACGCTTCAGCAGGTTCCAATTAAAGAAGGCCTAATCCAAAGCGCATTGAAGTTAATAAGAGACTTTTTGTCTCTTGGCTGTTGGGGCTTGGACCAGACATCAGTGTCAGAAATGGCATCTGTAACACGTGCAGACATTTTAATGCAGTCACTGCTGCAGGAGTGCCGGGAGTCCTCCTGTGCCGTTATCAGCTCTACTGATCATTCAGCTCTCCCCAAGAGCTTCAAAGGGAAATTGCCAATTCATCTTTTTTCACATCTAAAACGCGAGGTTCAGAAGTGAATTCTGCTAAAACACATACTTCTTTTTTTAATCTGGAAAGATATTTCAAAGATATTTCCATTTCCGGCAAATGGTCCTTTTTCTCAGGAAATCAGTTAAAAAAGACCCTGTATTCAGGCCAAAAAAAGCCAAATCACTGGATTTATTTTTAGGTCTATTTATCAGGTGCTAGAAAGACATCTTGAAAGTCAAAATTCTTTTCATTTAGCAAAATCTGGACAAAGCTTTTGAATATTCATTGTAAATACACGAAGCTTTTAGGGACTGCCTTTTCAGCTTTACTTCTGCTATGCCCTGACATTAGTCTATGGCTATGGAGAATATGGAGGCTTATAAACAGATTAGCTCTCAGAGACCATTTTTATTTCCAGTAGGAAACAAAACTGGCAGCACAACCACATCTAGCATCAGATGAGCATGCCTTTTATGTTTTTTGAATATAATGTGACTTTGTTTATTTTTCCAGCCTTTTGCAAAACGTTTTATTCCATAGATCAATGACCGTTGTAACACACGACTCAAGATGGAAATTTCCCCCGCGTCATCTGGGAGAAGCGGCTCAAAGACGACTGCATTTTCGTTTTACTCTACACTCCAGCCACTGGAGCATAAAGCCTCCTTGACATGGTTGTGCCCTGAGGAGATCCCTCCGTTGTGATCATCCCTGCTGCTCTGTACAGGTGGGAAGCAGCGCTCTGAGGCCATGCCTATTGCTATGCCGAGTCCACCTGTACTTGCGGAGTACAAAACAGCTTTTATAAAGCCTACTTACCACTTAGGAGCGTTAAATGGGATCTCAAAGTCTCCTTTATAGACCAAGGAAGAAAATCAATGACTACTTTTTCCAAGGACAGAAGGTAAGCCATCCACTTCAGTGGAAGGTCCCCAGGGCCCACCTTTATGCTTTCCCCTCTCAGGGCTCCCAATCACTGCCACAAATAAATAGATAGCAATAATACCCTTTTCACTAGAAAGGCTTTTTCCACGTTGGTGAAGAAACCCAAACCCATCAGAGAGCAGTTGCTGCTGGCTAACCCATGCCCCTGAGCCCCAGCACTAGCCCGAAGACCGGAGCGGTCCCGCGCCTCAACGCAAGCGATGAGCAGTGGAAGAGGGACGAGTCCTTGCCAGGGGCTGTCCCCCGCCGTCAGCCATGCCCCCGTCCTGGGGGGCACGGTGGGCAGGGAGGACAGGAGCCCCTGCGCAAGCCCCCCCCGTCATCACCCAAACTGGTGGCGCAAGGGAGAGATGGGGAAATTCTCTCACCGAGTCGCCTCCCTCCTGAACAATACTCAAGTCGCAGGCTTGTCTACGAGAGAGATTTAAATACATAACATTTGCTCACAAATTAGCCAGACAAGAATAAATGTTTTAAGACCTTTTGGCTCTCCTAAGAGAGAATAAGAGGCCTTGCTATACGTCTGAAGAATTAAATTGTCTTAATTGCATCCTTGTGCAAAATAAAGCATTACATACAGAAGAAAAATATTTTTCAGGGGATGGAAAAATCCACTGGGTTAAAGGAATACTACTGTCAAGTTAAATGTGTCTCTGCATTTGTGCAGTGCAAAAACAAGCTTTAATAAAACTGAAGAGTCTAATAGGAACATTTCCATGAATTTAAAAATAACAGCAATGGAAACAATCTCATAAAATAAGTAAACCTCTCCCTTCAATATTTGCAACTCAAGTATTACAGCATTAATTTAGGGCTTGGGAATGTAAAAGTAACTATAAATTACGAAACAAGTGCTTTGTTCTACAATACGAGAGGCCAGGTTTTAAATTCCTTGTCTAGCTGTGGCTCTTGTAATTTCAGTACTACTGCTGGGAGGCTGAATTTAGCCCACCTAAAGACCAATCCAAATGAAGAAATTACCTGACATGATACTCACCCATCAGGTTTCCAGTGGCCCATAATAGATACAGAGGGATACCTGACTTGTAAGGAAGGCTTCTTTGGTGTGACACTTCATACCTACTCCAGGCTGTTTTCTTAACCTTTTCTTAACCGATTCTGAATAGATTAGTTATGGATAACCTGACATTGGTCTTACAAATTAAGAACATGAAATGCAAAGTTCACCCAAAGAAGAAGGTACCAGGGCCCTGAGAGTGTGCCCGTTACACTGCTTTACTGCCTGGACCGGTTGCCTTCCCAGAACACGGCGCTTATGCTGGGTTAACTGGGGATGACTCCCTTGGAAACCAGTCTGTTTTAAGACTTGGTCCATGCTGGCTCAGAACAAGATAAGGTACTTGCATTTATGTCACCGGGAGCCAGCTTCTTTCTCTAAATCATGTTTTCAGTAGTTTCTCCTGTTGCTCATCTCCAGCTTTTGCTCCTCCAAACTGCTGCCGAGGGCACTGCTTCGCCCCTCTTCCCTACCGTGCAGACCACACTCCTGCCCATCTCACTGGCAGAATTGCTTCAGAGTCCTCATCACACTCCCTACGCTGGGCTGCGCTCATATGAATTCGCCAAATGCCTGTACACCTGCTCTAGGATGGTTTTCAACCAAAAAAAGAATATGCTGTCATTAAAGCATCATGAAACAGAAAAATAAATAAATCCCAAGGCCTAAATTGATTTACGTTGTTTATTTGGGATTTGTTGATAGACTTAAACTCTGTAAGTAGCCATAATAGGATACGATTAGTTAAGATCTGAGCGAGGTATAACAGGATCACAATTTACTGAAGGTCAGAACTGTATACAGAAGATTAAAACCAAAATACCACCAGATTGATTTGGGACCTGCAGGAGCTGATCCTGCCAGGATATGTTTTCCTTTTCCATGCTTTTGGAAAACAAGGCAGACAGGATTTCCTTAAAATCTCTTTTTCCTAATTTCCCAAATGTCTTCCAAAATCTAGGTATAGGAAGAATTAAAAAAAAAAAAAAAAAGGTAGTAAAGTTCATTCTTGCCCCAATAAAGACTTCTGACAAGGCTGTTAAGCTGTTAAATTATATGGGCCAGATCTCGTAGGACGGGAAGTTACTTGGCAATGACTCTGTAGATGAAACAGTCTACCATAACTTGCTCATAAATTGACCTGGAAACCCTGCATGCAAACTTTGTTCCTCATTTACTGCAAACTGCTCAGGGAGAATTAAAACATATTCTGCCTCTTATAATCAGGTCTCAGAGAGCAGCTGGTCACTTCCATCGCCTTTGGATACATACCCTGTGGACTGATCCCCACTCACCCGGCCAGCAAAAACCTCAGCGGTTTCTTCCAGCAGGAAAAAAATCTTAACAGGAGGGAAGGAGGAGAAAAGCCCAAGCTTTACTGTTCTTCTGGATAAAATCTAATCATCACTGCTGGTACAATTATAGCTGGCAAAGAACTGGGGACAGGCCCGTTGAAGCAGCCGTGTAGAAGTGTAGAAAGTAAATGAGCCTGGTGGATGGCACAAGCTGGAAGGAGAGCAGTGGGGAGTTCACCTGGACCAGAAAGGACCCGCAAACTTCAGTACCCTGTTGGGCATGCGGTGGTCAGAGAAGGGTGCCTATGGACACTTGACCTAAGAGTAAAACTTCTGTGAAACAAGATTGCGTGGATCCAGAGCACAGTACAAAGACTCAGCGGACACCAGGTTGTCTCCCAGTTTGTTAGCGGAGACAAACAAAGACAACTTAGAAGTTGTCTCATTTTTTATGTCCTTTTTTGCTCTGTTTGCCTATTCCTGCCTGTCTTCTGGTCACTTTTCTACTGCGTGTCTTCCCTGAGAGCTCCCCACCCGTGCTACGCTAAGAGATGGCACACACACACGGTGCCTGTCTCCTTACAGAAACCTACCCCCATTAAACAGTAGTGGGAGAAATCCTCACAGGCACACTAGGTTCCTGTTACTTCCACTTATGGCCGGTTTCAAAGGCAGACTAAGGTGGCAGCCATCCATCCTAGCAAGAAACTGTATGTGCTAAAACTTATATAAATGTGAAATTAGCCACCTGCAATAACTGCTGTAAAATTGTTAAATTAGTAACAGTGATTATTCTCATTTCTTGCTGGGGTATCAGGGAACTAGCGTGGAACAGCAGTAAAAAAGGCTGCTACATAGTCCAGAAAATAGGTTAAACCAAGTGTTGCTGCCGCAATGAAACCAGAAACCTTGCTGAACTCACTGCAGGGCCGCCTGCTTGCAAGGACTTTAAGTGTCACCCTATATCCCCACTGGAATAGTACAAAAGCGAACAGGAAAGAGTGATCCAGTTTTTAATGCCTGCTAAAAATTAATCTGGCATGAAAAGAATTACAAGTCACAAGATGCCACAGAAAACTGGAATGTTTAAGCTTAATAAAACCACAGTTCCCAACCTAATTTTTTTCCAGTTTGAGGCATCAGATCTTCAACATACATTTTCATGAATCCTCTTTATTTAATTTAAAGAAGTACTTGAAAGCTCCCAATCAATAGCAAGGCTTCACTCAAGCATGTACTGTATCACAGAAGGATCCACTTCTTCTGCCATCAGACCGGCTTGCAGACTTTGGATTGTTGCTTTCTTCCCCAAACGCTGTCTCCACAGGACAAACGCAGCTACGATCTGTGACTGCAGGTTGTGAGGGTGATTGACTTTACATCGATAGATGTCAGTATGGGACAAACCCAAGCACAGAACTATATGCTCCCATTCGGGTCCCAGTCTCCTCGCAAGCTTGTTCAGCTGCTGATCCGTTGGTGAAGTCTTCAAAATACACGGTGCAATTTCAGTTATAGCTGTAAAAAAAACAAGAAAAAGAAAAAGAAAATGCATACATGTGTCACTAGGCAATGCTGCAAACATTAATGTAAGTCCTTGACAAAGGAGGGAATAAGCAAAGCTGAGGTGAAAGAATTAATTAATTAAAGAAACAGAATACAATACTCACCCAGAAAAATTAATTACATAATCCACCAGAAGATTAATTAAAGGAAAACTAATGCTCAGTGGACCATACTAGGGAGCCTTGAGGTTTTGGGTGTCAATAATCCAGATATCAGAATTCTACTCCAAAGCCAAGACTTCCAAAAGTAATAGATTTTGGGGTGGTGAACAGGAAAGGCTTTCAAGGAACATGTTCCCAGCAGCCATCACCTTCTGAAAATCAATCTGCTTGCACCAGTATGATATAGTGACAGGTGACAAATATGGGACCAATAATACCTTATTACTCCTATTCTTTGGCTCTGTTTATACACTTCAGAAATAATTTTGGTTCCTTATTTATTAGGTATTACTCTATTTTTTTTGCTGGGGGCTGTTCACAGGAAGTTCTTCTGTCTCCTGAGATGCTACTTACACTCTGTGCCCTGTTATAGATGTCAAACTCACCTGGAGGAGACCAGCTTTGGGGGCTTTTCTTCTATTTGAATGAATCCATAAGCATTGTTCAGGTGAACCCAAATGAACAGGGCATCAACACTTCCCCAATACAAATTATGCTTCCTTATCCCTCACCCCAGTTGTAGTAACGCTCCTGAAAACAGGCATGTATGTGCTAAAGCCCCATTCATCTGGCTTCCTTGAAGCTGTTTTCAGGAGAGGGCAAGGAAATCCCATGTTCTCTCAGAGATTTCTGCCCTATGTCCCTTAGTATTGCGCACGTACCCAACATGCCCCAGAACACACTCTTCATCCGAGGAGACGATTAGCATCAAACTGGTACCTGACTCGCAGAGGACAGTATCAATACAGCTACCAAAACAGCTTTCACAGTGTCCTGGTTTCAGCTGGGATAGAGTTAATTTTCTTTCTAGTAGCTGGTATAGTGTTGTGTTTTGGGTTCAGTGTGAGAAGAATGTTGATAACACACTGATGTTTTCAGTTGTTGCTCAGTAGTGTTTATACCAAGTCAAGGATTTTTCAGCTTCTCATGCCCAGCCAGCGAGAAGGCTGGAGGGACACAAGGAGTTGGGAGGGGACACAGCCAGGAGAGCTGACCCAAACTGGCCAAAGGGCTATTCCATACCATGTGATGTCATGTCCAGTATATAAACTGGGGAGAGTTGGCCTGGGGGGGCCGGATCACTGCTTGGGAACTAACTGGGCATCAGTCAGCAAGTGGTGAGCAATTGCATTGTGCATCACTTGTTTTGTATATTCTAATTCTGTTATTATTATCGTTACTATTATCTTCTTTCTTTTCTGTCCTATTAAGCTGCCTTTATCTCAACCCATGAGTTTTACTTTTTTTTCTAATTCTCTCCCCCATCCCACTGGGTAGAGGGGAGTGAGCGAGCAGCTACGTGGTGCTGAGCTGCTGGCTGGGGTTAAACCATGACACAGAGGAAGCATTAAGTTAGCTGTAATTATCAGCAGTAAAAATCTCTTAGGGACTGAATCAAGTATTTCTTAAAAACACAAGTGATCTCTTCATGTATTCCCTATGGTAATCTGATCATTTAAAAAGAAAAGCATTAATACAAACAGTGTTAGTAGCAGAGTGAGAATACAGTGCTATTCAGAAATACGCTGTATGGGATCCATCTCATCTAACTACAGATAGCCCCTCCTGAACTAATTATACTAGGATTAATTATCGCTAAGGAGAGAAATAGGCTCTTCTAGAATACAATCCATGTCACTGGAAAGAAGATGTCTATAATAATCAGATTAATTGCTCCTCTAAATGTGCACATTTCTCTCCCTTGACTATAAAAGGAGCGCTGGGTATAAGCTCAGATGTTGACATTGACGCCGTAAACACCCAGTGCTGGTGAAACGATTCTCTGCCTGTAAATTCAAACCACATACCAGTTGCTTTAAAAAGGTACATTTAGAAAAGCAGCATAAGATATCCATAAAGCATATTTGCTCTTTGATACCCTTTGCGATCACAAGCTGAAATGAAGGATCAATGCAGCCTGCAATTGCTGCTCTACTTTTGTTGCTGAAGATACTGCGTCAAAACAGAGCAAAAATATCCCCAAGAAAATGCTAATTATAGCCTGTCCGTCTGAAGCAGCAGGCTCCCTACAGAAGAGCCGCTTTGCAAAATCTAATTTATAGCTCCAATATCATGCTCGCAGTCTCCACTACAGCAGAACAGCAACACTAGAAAGCACCACTCCTTCATTTTATCAAAAGTAATTGTTTTTGCATAGAATACCCAAAGCCTGCAAACGTTTGTACAATTTAAGCCCAATCATACGTTAAGTACTATACAAAGCTGCTTTGAGTAAAGGGAAAATTGCTTTCTGAAGAGTGTTTAGGTCCCTTTGATCTTTCTGTCTCCAGATTGCCAAAGGAACCTGGGGCAAGTGGCTGGTTCGGGGACAGGGCAGAGGTTGCAGGGCTCCTGAAGAAGGCTGAGCAGTACTGGTGGGGCTGCTCTGTGCTGTCACATCACATGTGATACCAGCTCCACAGGTAGGTCAGGACGAGGGAGTGCCTTGCATGAATGCAAATATTTGAGAATAACTAAAACTTAAAATAAATACAGCTACTCTGTGCTGTTGCCAACACTACTTTTTGATATTAAACCCCATTGGCTTATAGTCAGCTACTAAACATAAAGCAGTGTGCCCAAAGGAACACTACCTGCCAGCCTGGGCTTTTTGCTCTCACACTGGAATTTTTATGCTTCATGTTCACTAGCAGAATGATTTTATGATACTGAAATGTGATCAAGCAGGGAGGCCTAACAATAATACATGTCAGCTTGTCCATCCAGCCTTTGATATTAGGCAGATTTTTTTACTGGAACAAGTATCTTGCCTTCAGCCTATTATCAGTCCTTTAATAAGAATAAGAATAAAACCCATCCAGGAAATCTTTTCATCTTACACTACCATCTGATTCTAATATGGATGTGGAAAATTCTGGGACAGAAGCCATATGTTAAATTAAAATTTAATACAAAGGACTGTTACTTTAGTTGCTGTGATAGCTCTTTTTCAGCTCTGATACAAAGTCACTGAGGAAAATCTGAACCAAGTATTACATGATGGGCAATATTATTTAGAGGTATAGAGAAATATTTAGTGAGATCTTTTAGTTATGCCAAATGCAAAATCACAGAAAGATTTGTATATGTACTAGGATTAATGCCACTCTTAATTTAATAAACATAATGGCATTTCAGGTGAAAGGGAAATGAGTTTTCTGTGCTCGGCAGCCAAGCTGCTTTGAACACATTGCAAAAACATTACAGATGCCTCTTTTTAGTTATGTTTACTACAGACCCTCACTTAAAATCTCCATTTGTCAGGAACTGCCTGGGGGAGGTAATGAGATTAGAGCAAAAGTTTCAATTATGCAGATCCTGCAGTTGCATTTGAAAGATACGTTTAGGATACTGAGACCTCAATTTTGCAAAAAATGTGAAGCTCTTCTTGCTTTAGGTGGATTCGATCTGGAGGGGTACATGCTTATGTTAGGTATATGCTTCGGCTTAGCAAAACGAGGACGGCACTGTTAAGACACGGGAAGAAGCAGGGTTTGGGGCACCACTGGAGGGTGTAGAGGGTTTCCCCGGAGAAGGCGATTTTCGGTGCCATCACCTCCAGTGAGCCCAACAAGTGAAACACCGCGTTCAGCTGTGGACACGGTCTACGCCGCGAAGTGCCAGGGCTATGCGCTGCGGAGATTTAGAGGCTGAAGTCTCACTGCTCATGCTTAAGCCACTAAGTCCCTGAGGAATGGGGAGCCGACAGCTTTGTGCTGGGGAGCGAGCCAGCCTGGTGCAGAGTTGCTCTCCTGGGAGTGCCGGCCAGCTCACTGGCACAGGGCTTGGGACCATGAAAATCCCCTTTCTCCAGGCAGGAGGTGGGGAGGACACTCTCCACCCTGGTTTTGGAGCTGAAACCGAGCCAGAGAAAGACCAGCAGCTGCTTCTATTTGAAGTTGCAGCACGAGGGAACGCAATTCTCCATGCCTACAGCTCTTGCTGGTCAAGGAAACTCATCCACCGTAAGCCTCTATCCTAGCTGTCCCAGTTAAAAAACAGGAACGTTGACAACTTCTGGCCTGTGTGTACATCTGTGCTTCCAGACCACTGCACAGCCCAGGAGATACGAAGGTGCTGGTGAGTGTGGACAGGAAACAAAACTGGATATAAATAGACAGTGTCACAGACAAAACAGAGTAACCCAGATATCAGAGCTACATATGGGGTAAAGGCAGCCAGTCGCCACTTTTGCATTTCTTTTTCTTCAAGACCTCTCCAGCTTCAAGTAGGAGATTCCAAGAAGATACTGCAACAGTTAGGGGGATTGAAAAGAAACTCACCCCGGCTCTGTCCCACTTGGCACAAGTGGGAGGATGCAAGATAAAGTCCAGTGAAAATGGGCTTTGAATCACTTAAAGACTTTTTTGTGCTTTTGCTTTTCCATCACCATCTCTAGGTGATGAAAAAAGCTGAGATCATCCCTTAGGCTGTCTTGCGCCATGGGAAAATCTTTATCAGCAAGTGAGCTTGGCTCCAACACAGGACACAGCAGCAAAAAGTGCTGAGGCATTTTTCGTGATCTGCAAAGTACCCAGCTGATTCCTCAGGACTCCTGGCAGTCCGAAGTGCGTTACGGTTTTGTCTAAAGGACCCTTCTCCATCTAAGTATGACTTCTCTATACACAACCAAAAGCATCTGTTGGGAGTTTCAGGGAGCCTTCTTTGTTATGCAGTCAATACATTTCTACATGATGCAACACAAAACCAACTTTTTGGCTTTTGCTCTTTGCTGTGTAAAAGGGACTTTGATGGAAATGGCCCACCTCTTGACTAATAACTAATAAATCTGTCCCTTGGGAAAGGATGTTCTGGGGACCGGTCTTTGCTTCCAGCACTGCCTCTGTATTTTATCCATTTAAATGACCATGTACATACTCATTGGATAAGAAGACAGAAGCAGCCCTGGAAGAAGAGATGGGAATCCAGGTCTTTCTGAGCTGCACATCCTAATGCTGAGGTGCACAGTCATGCTCCTCTTCATTCCCTTTCTATTGACAAATCATTCCAGAAAAAAATACAAAGATTTCCCTGGGAAGCGTCAAGAACGCTTCCCAGCCCCTAGAATGGAGCCTGGTGGAGAGAAAACTCACCTGGAATCAAGGGGTATGGTGAAACAGAGCAAAATTGCATGCAAGAGCCCTTCGCAGAAACAGTGCTCAGCAAGTGCTCTAAGTTTAATATAATCACATCAGAAACAGGTAGGTGATTCTGGGCTTCAGACCCTGCATAACTGGAATGGGACTGTAAAAAGGAGTAAGTGCTCAGCCATGCACCTGGCCTCAGCATCTCCTACTGACAGGGGTATAGAGTCCTTCAGTCATCCGAACTCAAGTCACTAACTATTCACTTGACCCTCTCACCAGATCCTACTCATAATTTCTGAAGAGTTCAAAGCAAGCATTTCAGAGTCCTCTTTAATCATCTTTCCTGGCATCTGGAATACAGTTCTTCCTTGAGAAGTGCTGAAGTTAGATCAAGCAGTTCCACAAGCAGCAAACCAAAGAAGCCTTGTGTCCCCCAGCTGTGAGTCCTACAGCTGACTCGTGCTTCAGGACTTCTCCAGCTGCTTATCGATTCTCAAGACACTGCTGAAACTTCTCCTCTCCACAACAGCAACTAGGCAGGCTTCTTGAAGTTGGCCAACAGGTTCAGAAGCTACTAGGGGTACATGCATACACGCAACAGCCCACAGAGCAGGAGCACACAGCCTTGGTTACTATAGGACATTACGCTAAAAGGGACTTTGAAGCTCCACAGAACCATCGTGGCTAACGTGCCAGCAGCCAGTGACATGTGGGGCACTTCAGCTAAAGGAAAACATATATAATAAAGAACCTAGTGCCAGGCTCTGCTTCCCTCCAGCCCCCTCGGAGCGCAGTGGACTTGTTCAACTAGCCTGAGCCATAGACCCAGCAGCGGGTACTGAACGGGCATAGTCATGGTTGCCAGACCGTGTGCTGTTTGTTTTGGCGGGTGTGTTATGTTCCAGAATTTATTTAATGACTGAACGTTACAATAGCAAACACCTTGCACATAACCAGGTATATTTGCTTTAAAGTGAAATCCCCTTGGCCTGAGCACAACAGTAGAAGTGGGTCATGAAGCAGAACAACACTTGGCGGATCAGGTTGGGACAGGCTTTCAAGAGCAGTGAGGTGGGGTTGCAGAACGTGAATTGGAAGGTAAGTATGTAATACTCCCACTAACGGAGAGATCGGAGGCTTCAGAGAGCTGCAGCCCCCCTTGAGCCACCAGAGATGCTGGATGAAAAGGAAAGCAGAGAGTAAGCACTTTGAGGGATCCCAGTGGGTGCTGTAGACCACTTAAGTCAAAGACCAGATCACGGTGGAGGTCCTGGTGAGAAGGGTGGAATAAACAGGAGGTGCTGGGTAACTGCAGGGGCTGGCCTGGCTCAATTTGTTAAAAAAGGGGTGACAGTGGAGGTGACAGCGGACCTCCATTTGTACGGCTGCTCTTCTGCTTTCTTGTTCAGCTGTTCTCTCCCAACCTTGTCCTAACAGGCGGAACTGCAGGCAAATGCCTGCCCTCTTCCTACAGCACATCCAAATTCATGAGCTCTAAGCCAACCTGTGGCAATGAATGACTGGAGTGCCAGATGGGAAAGTATCTTGCTAGATATATGACACTTGGCAGGCCTGCACAGAGAATGCAGCGCTTACTCCCTCCTGTGCAAGTTAAAAATGATCATGAAGCATTATAAGGTTATTTCATGGCTGTGAACTTTAGAAGGGTCTGATTCAGGACCCGTTTAAACACAAGAAACAAGCTCAAATTGTTAATCAGTGGAAAAAGTAGAAGAGACTATCCAGAAACCAACCCCTACTACATAATTTGGGTGTTGCTTTTTTTCTTGTTGTCATTGTTGCTAATTAAACACCAGACTGATTCAAAGGCTGGGAAGGGAACATTAGCATTTTGCAACAGCTCCAAATAATCATGCTCCAGGGAACATGGAAAAATATTTCTCTTTTATCACTATATACATATCTTTTCTATACATCTGCAAAGAGCATGGATCACGCAGCCCATCTAAAGTCTATTCAAAACCACCGGGTCTGCCTCCTGGTTTCAGTGGGTTTCAAAAAGTGTTTGACCAAGGAGCGGGAAAAATTGAACTCTAAATCCCGTGCTATCTGAAGACAGATAGCTGACCCCATTATAGATATAAAAGTTAATATTTCATATAAAAGTTAATCCACTCAGATTAAAATAACTTACAGAAGAAGATGACAATAACTTGGAGTAGATGTATAGCCTTCTCCTGCTTTTAGCATGTGCGTAGCTGTTTCTCTGTCTCTCCTGCCAAACACGAGTGGTGAGTTACATGGATAGCTGCCAGGTGGAAGACTGTGGTAGCTGTTCCACTTATCTGCGCTGGTTCCCTCCTCTGTAGGCTTCTGTTCACTACCAAAGAGATGCCCACCTCCTTCATCCCACCTGAGGCTACCAGAGGTCACCATCTAACGATGACTGCCAAGCGTGCGCTGATCTCTGTTCTCTGCTTGGGAATTTCCGCTTCTTCCTCCCATAGAGCTGACTCAGCACAGGGAAATCCCAGTGATGGAAAACCTGCACCCTTGTAGGAACAACAGGCCCAGTTACCTTCCTAAGAATAAACACTATCATCTTCTCTAATGCAATCAAAATCAAATCTTGGTCAGTTAAAAACCCAGACTAAACTACAGAATGGAATCTGTACCATAAGCACATTAAAAGAAAAACACATAAAACAAGGGTTTAGAAAGTGGCACATTTTTTTCAACTGACCGCATTACAGTAAAACAAATCTGACAGAGAATTTTATGTTCATCTGAGTATATGCCGCACTTATGCTTCACAAATGCAGGACTGTAAAGTTTCTGTAGCTTGATAACTTCTGATCTGATGAATGCAAATGGTCATTAATGTACAGAATATGCATGAATAAAACCATCCTCTGTCAATTAGTGATCATAAAACACTTACTCGTAAGCATACTTCTACCACGGCAATTTACATTTTAATGTCTTGCAATTAAATTATGAAAGGCACTAATCAAAATGAAAACTAATATGAAATAAATTTTTAAGACTGGCTGCATTCTTCCACATCGTGCTGGTTTTTATGGCTTGTATTAAAAGATAGGAGGTTCTCTGTCTTATTTTAAATAAATTGGAATCTAATATTATGACAGCTGACGTGCAGAAGAAATTATGGCCATGATCCCATGATAATCAAACCTATAGCAGCTTTAAATGGTCTCCCTTAAATGAAGCAGAATCCACCCACAGTACCAAACTCAGCTCCTTCCTGCCAAAAGCTTGCTGGGACTCAGCAATACTGGTGTA